ACCTTACGTAGAAACTTACGTAGCATAGCGGTGTCGTTTTTCTTGCCATGTGAACACAATAATAGAAAAGCTGACAGGATCGCTTTTCTAAATACATCAGGCAAAGCTCCGTATTAGTTTCGTACTGCTTCCGTATTGGTCGGGCAGGGATACTACACTTGCACGGCAGGTACTTTTTTTTTTTTTTTTTTTTTTTTTGGCAGAGATTGTTTTTGGCACCTATGATCAGGGGATGGCCCACGCCTGGTAAAAAAAACAAAAACAAAAAAACAATGAGAAGTTGCGTACAAATCATGTACAGACAGACTATGGATTCGAACATAACAGAGTGGAAAACCGGAATCCGAGAAAAAGATAACATGCAAAATCATGAAAAAGGGGGGGGGGAATGAAGCAGAACAGTAGCCAAACACACCACGGATAGTTACCGAAAGCACTCTGCAGCAGCAAGGACCACAGAAGCATCAGAGTCAATGACTCTCTGGCGGGCATCTTGAGACCGTGGCCTGCGGTTACCACGGAGGCTGGCATTGGAGGCACGAACAAGAGAAAAGGAAACCCTTGACCTAATAAAGGCAAGAAGTGAGGAGAAGGGCTCCTTTCTCTTGTCGGCGAGCATAGAGGCGACACGCTTGAAAAAAGCGGAGGCGGACTTGCCGTAGCCGCCGGAAGCGCTGAACACAATGGGACAAAAAGACGCGTGTTCAACTTCCCGGACGCGTTCTTCGTACGCGCGCCTTTTCTCGGCCTCATGCTTCCGGTAGGTGGCCGTGATGGACTGTTGGCGGTTGGAGCGGGCGTGCGGGTTGAATACCCGGATGTCCAGTAGTGCCCGCTCGAAACGTCCACCCCAGACACCCGATGCGCCCACATCCAGGCGGGCACCATCCTCGGAGATGGCGGAGCGGTGACGGAAGGTCTCACCGGTTAGCGGCTGGAGATGTGGCTCGACCTGGCTATCATGGGCCACTTCACGCAGAAGAGATGCGGTGAGATCCCGAAGGTCATTATGCCGCATGGCGGGGTAGCCACCAGTTGGGCAAGACAGCGCGTGTTCCGGTGAAAACGCTTTGCCGCACACACATTCTGTTGGCAGGCCTGGAGGGGTCCAACCATACCGTAGGCAGAGAGCGTCCCAGAACGCCTGCTTGTGTAGGTTGAAACCATACTGACGAAGGGGCCGACAGGTCAACCAGCTGGAGGCGCCCTTTTCAGCAGCAAGATTCAGGGTGCGCTCTGTGGTGCTGGTGGAGGTGGCAATGACCGAGGCAACAGCTTCCTTCGCCAGGCGCCGGGACTGGGAAACAATCTCTGCCTTCGCTGCGATGGTGGCAGCTGGGACGCCTTCTGCTGACTGATCTTGCTGGAGGATCTTCTGCACGAGAGACTTGGTAATATGCATAGAGTCCTGGAACTGGGAGGCAAGGGAGGATGGGTTGACGATCCCCAGCCCTCCGTCCCTGCACGGTACGGCCAGCATGGCACGCTCGATGTCTCCTGGCGGGACGCGGTTGATGATGGCAGGGATGAATTTGCTACGGATTCTTTCCTCCAAGGGTGCGAGCAGGTCGGCCGTATTTGGCACTGTCCGGGCGACAAAGGACCACTTATGGCGAACTCCCTGGCCGAAGGCAGCAAATGCCGCTTGTGGTTGGGTGCGGGCGAACTCAGCCAGAACATCCACTTCGCGACACCACTCATCCACCTTGCCTGACACATATGCCGAACAGAATGTTGGTGATCCGAGGACGGCACCTAGGTGGCGACACCCATCCGACCGGATGTCTATGCTGGAGTCCTGGAAGATTTCCCTGGATCGATCTAAGCACTCGGGCTTCACCAAAAGTATCGACTTTTTGGCGTTGATGTAGTATCCATAGGATGGACCTTCTTCTTCCAGGATGGACCACCACTTATGAAGCCTGGTGAGAGTGCTTGCTGCTGTGGAATCATCTGCGAACCACGCTTGTACGGCTTTGCTAGAGGCAGCACGACGGATGAGAGGCACGGTGCCCAACGCATACATCGCCATTGCGAGCGGATCGCCTTGTGTAGTTCCTTCACAGGAGAGAATGGTCTCGCCACCGACGAACAGCCGGGATGGGGACCGGTAGGTGTTGCATGCAGTGCAGTCCGCGGATCCGTGTTCGGATATGTGCATGCGCGAGGAACTTCCTTCTTTGGACTGCTTGTTGCATGAGCTGTTTCGGATATTTCGTCTCCTGGCCTGGCTTATTTCGTTTCGGCGCTGCTGAGACCTCCTTTCGCGGAATATTACTCAATGACAGATGAGTTGACCAGTTTCCTTTGATTCATTTGCTTGTGTTGACTCTTTCATTTACGAAAAGTGTGCTGATTTGGGGCGAAATACAATAAATAATGGAAAAGCTGACAGGATCTCTTTTCTAAATTTAGCTTTTCCGCTGCCGAGGCCTCCTTTTACGGAATACTCGATGACAGGTGATCTCTGAGTTGACTGGTTTCCTTCGATTCATTTGCTTATGCTCACCCTTTCATTTACGGAAACGTGTGCTGATTTTATTCTGATTTAGATCCATTTTTATCTCTTTGTCCTTGTCTACAGTGCGAAGAACGCGAGTTCACCTTCTTGATGGTAAGGCTTATGTTAGATGTGTTGTCGAAATACTCATTCATTGCACATTGGTACGTTACAAGTAAGGCACTGGTCAGTGGCATAATTACTATCGTTGGCAGTTCCCGATCTGGAGGGAAAGGTTCAAGGACTCATTGACCGAGTTTGTTTACTCGAGTTTGGGCTAGGGCTGTTTGATTTGTGAGTACCGCCGAGATTGCGCACCCCAAATAGAGTTTCGTGCCGCCAAAGCAAGACTGATTACGATCTGCAATCTGTTTGTAGTACCTGTAGTACCTCCAAGAATGTGCAGTACATGTGTCGTACTTTCTCTGTTGCTGTTTCAGGCTGTGTTTACATGAGAAATTTCAACCCGGGTCGAGTTCAGCCCGGGTTGAAAGTCTGTACGATAGACAAAAGAGGTGAGCGTTTACATGAAGACTGTTAACCCGGGTCAAATACTGATATGCCGCCAAAAGTCCACTTCTACAGTCCTGTATGGTCACGTGAATCCGTTCGCGCGAAATTTGCATCTGCAGTGCCGTTCAAACCTGGCGCGAGATACGCACA